TGAGGGGGAAAATGGGCTGAAATGGGTTTTTTGAGGGATTTTTCTGTTTTTCAGGGTGAGCCCCTGGAACCCCCTCAGGCTGAGGGGAAAACTGGGTTTAAATGTGGGATTTTAGGGAGATTTGTTGTTTTCCGAGTGAATCCCCTGAGTCCCACAGGCCCAACACGTGGACTGAGGGGGAGAATGGGCCAAAACGGGTTCTTTGAGGGATAATTTTGTTTTTCAGGGTGAGCCCCTGGAACCCCCTTAAGCTGAGGGGGAGAATGGGCCAAAACGGGTTCTTTGAGGGATAATTTTGTTTTTCAGGGTGAGCCCCTGGAACCCCCTTAAGCTGAGGGGGAGAATGGGCCGAAACGGGATTCTTGAGGGATATTTTTATTTCTTAGGGTGAGCCCCTGGAACCCCCTTAAGCTGAGGGGGAGAATGGGCTGAAATGGGATTCTTAAGGGATATTTTTATTTTTCAGGGTGAGCCCTCAAAATCCCCTTAAGCTGAGGGGGAGAATGGGCCGAAATGGGTTCTTTGAGGGATATTTTTATTTTTCAGGGTGAGCCCCTGGAACCCCCCTAAGCTGAGGGGGAGAATGGACCAAAATGGGATTCTTGAGGGATATTTTTATTTCTCAGGGTGAGCCCCTGGAACCCCCTCAGGCTGAGGGGGAGAATGGGCCGAAACGGGTTCTTTGAGGGATATTTTTATTTTTCAGGGTGAGCCCTCAAAATCCCCTTAAGCTGAGGGGGAGAATGGGCCGAAATGGGTTTTTTGAGGGATATTTCTGTATTTCAGGGTAAGGGGGATAATGGGCCGAAAGGGGTTCTTTGAGGGATATTTTTATTTCTCAGGGTGAGGCCCTGGGAACCCCCTCGGTCTGAGGGGATCCCTGTGTTTACCTGTGTGTTCCTGAGGCTGTTCCTCCTTGCCCAGGTGAGCCCCGGCCGCCGCAGCCGCCGCAGCCGCCATGGCCTCGCCGGCCGCCAGCCCCGACTCGTCGTGCCACGAGGGCCCGGCCTCGGCGGCCTCGGCGCCCGCGGGGACCCCGACCTCGGACTCGGAGAACCTGAGCCCCGACGAGCTGGAGCTGCTGGCCAAGCTGGAGGAGCAGAACCGGTCAGA